TTTTTTTTTTTTTTTTTTTTTTTTTTTATTAAGTAACGTTAGATACTTAAGAAATAATGAAAAGATAATTAGTATATTATTTTATTATATGTCATTTATATAATATTATTAAATAGATATTAATAAATATTTTCAAATATTAAAATACTTGGATAAGTAAGTGTATAATTCATTAATTACAATAGTAAACTGTAAATAGTGAATGATCCAAAAGCCCTGAGGAACCGCTCAGTACAGCGTGCCATATGGAACCTTCGTACTATTTAATTCATATCTTCTAAATGAATCGAGATACCATTTTAATCTTTTTTTTTTTTTTGCATAATATTTCTACATTACAAGCTATTTTTTAACGTAAAAATAAAAGGAAATAAAAATATGCGAAGTTTAATAAATTCACATTTTTAATGTTAACTTGTGGTTTATTAGACGAAACAAAAGTTCAATTTCCAATTTGTATTTACTTCCAATGAAAATTCACTTATATATACTTTTATATTACTTTAGTTTCTTTTTACAATTATTCAATTGAAATCAATTAAAATGAAAAAGATTATGTTCAATTATTTTCGATGAATATAGGACATCGATCGAGATGACACGCGCGATACCATCTTTTACATAATTCTATTCACTTTCAAAAGTCTTATTCTTAAGTGTATTTAACGTAATGCAAGTAACTTTTCCTAACTTATGCGAATATCTCTTTATCTAGTTCATCGAACACGATAATCTCAAGCACGATGACCATAATCGTTTGCTTCCTGAATTGTTAAAAGGAATTCAATCTTGTATTTTCTATTCTATTACTCTTCTATGTTTTTTTGTTCTTTTTCTATTACATTATTAAAAAAATATATATAATAATTATGAATAATAAAATATATAGGTAAGACACAAACAATAATATATATATTTTATTATATTGTATATTTAATAATTATGATGATCTTACATTTTTAAATTTACATTTATATTTATATTATTATATAAATATAATTTATTAATTATATAATATAATAATAATTATAATATAATAAATTTATTTATCTTTCTTTATTTTTTATTTAATAAATTTTTTTTTAGACTCTGTAGTTGAAGCTCTCTGAGAGCCTTTGTACAATAAAGTATAATAATTCATATAAACTAGAGGTTAAACAATAATAATATTGATAATAATAATAATAATAATAATAATAATAATAATAATAATAAAAATAATAATTATAATAGTAACATTGATTTTAAGCATCACAATGTCTCTGTTAATAATATATAATATCTGTTAATAATAATTATATAATAAATATAATTTATTAATTATTAAATTATATACACAGCATTAATATATTATATAATATTATACAATAATTATATGAAAGTGAATCAAATTAAGATTAGAAAAAGAAGCTTAATTAATTTCTCATAAATTTTGTTTAATTGAAGATTTTTTTTTTTAATCTACACCATAATAACGTGAAATCATGAAAAAAAAAAATAACTCACATCAGTTTCATAAGTATTTAATTTGTACATTAGACATGTACAACATTGTACAAACATAATGTACAAAATCAATTTAAGATTAGAAAAAAAAGCTTAATTAATTTCTCATAAATTTTGTTTAATTGAACATTTTTTTTTTAATCTACACCATAATAACGTGAAATTATTAAAAAAAAAAATAACTCACATCAGTTTCATAAGTATTTAATTTGTACATTAGACATGTACAACATTGTACAAACATAATGTACAAAATAATCTAAATTTTACATAATTCAAAACATCTCATTGAAACTGAGATTAATTCAATATTTCCATAAAAAGAAGAACCTCTTCTTACATCATAAATCATTGAATTTATTATTGATCAATGAAAATCATTGAAAATAATTGTCTCAAAGGAAGAAAAGAAAAAAAAAAATAGAAAAAAACGAAAGAGAAAGATAGCATGTTTTATCATACTCTCGAGACTGCCTACTTTTCCCATGTGTATCGTTTAGAAAACTTTCTTCTTTCCCATTAACGCATACCATACCACAAAGTCACCACAGTTAGCCTCTTTTTACAAAATACAAAAGAAATATATATCAAACAAAATAAAAAAAAAAAAAATAAAAATAAAATACATCATCCTACTTCCCAAATTTTAAACGTAAAAAAGAAAAAGTTGGATTCTTTAAAAAAAAAACATAAAACAAATAATACAAAACTAAAAAAAAAAAAAATGAAATATCTCATCTTAGTTTTAAAATTTCAAACCTAAAAAAAGAAAAAAAGTCACTGGATAGAAAGAAATGAGATAAAAAAAAAAAAATACAAAAAGATACAAAAATAAAACGAATATTACAAAATTTAAAAAAATAATAAAATAAATCATCTTACATCCAAAGTTTAAAACGTAAAAAAGAAAAAGTTAGCTTCTTTAAAAAATAAAAAAATACAAAAATAAAACAAATAATACAAAATTTAAAAAAAAAAAAATAATAAAATATCTCATCTCACTTTTAAAATTTCAAACCTAGAAAAAGAACAAGTTAGCTCCTTTAAAAAAAAAAAAAATACAAAAATAAAACAAATAATGCMAAATTTAAAAAAAAATAATAATAATAAAATATATCATCTAACTTCTAAAATTTCAAAAATTAAAAAACAACGCAAAAAAAAATTACTACGGAGAAAGAAATGAAATAAAAAAAAATAAAAAAAAAAAAAGAAATAAAAGAATAAAAAGAGAAAAGAGTAGAAGCACAAGGACGTTTGAAAATTGAGTGAAAGAGAAAAGAAAATAAATGGCAGCAGTTCCAGAAGGGCAGAGGGGTAAAAGGGGTCAGGGGACGTGTGGAAGGGGCTGAGGGGTGAGGGAAAGGGTGCAAAAACAGGAAGCGATACAACATTGCCGAAGGGAAGGACGTCGAATCTGGGTTACACTTTAATACATAATACATATATACATACATATACATATATATAAAACTCTCTTTCTTTCACTCACAGTCATCTTCCTTTACACACACACACACACACACAGACACACATATATGTTATCTTTCTTTATCCAATACAATATTTTGTTTTGTGTTACGTTGTTAAAAAACGGGTTACTTTGGCGCCACATTTTACACTTTTACTTTCGAAATAATGATTATTTAATACCCGAAATACTACTCTCCTTTATGCCAGACCCTACCTACACCCTCTTCACCTCCCCCTTACCACCATTTCTTCATATAAACATTCATTCCCTTCTACTCTCCTTCCCCATCGTTTTGTTCAAGTGAAATGCACGATCCCGATACCTGGACCGGTTTCTTATTTTTCTTCAAGAGATTTCGTGACCAATTTTTTAACCATCTCTCTCTCTCTCTCTCTCTCTCTCTTACTCTCACTCTCACTTTCTTTTAATTCTTTGTTTATGTTGTTCATTCTTTTTGTTTGTTTACTCTCCTTTTTTCTCAAACTTGTTTATTTTTTGTTTTTTGTTTTTTGTTTTCTGTTTTTTAATTTAAGGGTTAATTTTTCTTTTCTTTCTTCTTCTACATTTTATTATATTTTGTTTATTTATAATTTAATTTATCATTTTGTTTATTTTTACAGAATTATTGAATTATATTAATTTATATTTCTTCTCGTGTGTATGTGTGTGTGTGTGTGTGTGTTTTTTTTTTAATAATTTTTCGTTTTGTTTATTTGAATCGGTATTTTTCAATCTCTCTTTTTAATTTTAATGATTTCGCATGACACACTTTCAAAAGGATTCCCTCTAATGGAGGAGAAGGGGTTTCTTTTTGTTTTGTTTCTTGTTTCTTTTTTTTTTTTTTTTAAAGTAAAGGAGTCGATGTTAATCTCCTTTGTGAGAATTTTATAAGAGAGAAAGGAATATTATAATGGCTTGTTTTGTAGGATTTTTTTTTTTTTTTTTAATAGTTTCATAAGTATTTATTTCCTTCTGTAATAAAATCAGAAATACGTAAGTAAGAATTTTACGACGAGTAGGAAAGAGAAATGAATTAGGAAAGTGAGAAAAAAATTTGGTTTCTTGTTAAAAACAATCGAGTTTATTAGATTTTTTTTTGTTACCTTTATATTTTTCCTTGAATTGCTATTAGATACAAATTTTATTACTAATAAAAATAGATAATAAATAATTATAAGAAGAATAAAAATAAGATATCATTTTTAAAAAGAGAAAACAAATATTATTTTCAACTAGAAAAAATATATTTTTATAATCTTAATTTTCTCTTAATATTAATAATAATAATAATAATAGTAATTGTTAACTGAAAAAATAAATAAAATAATGATACAATTATTATATTTATAATTATTGTCAATTATATTATATTTTATATTAAATATAAAAATAAAGTATTTAAAAATTGTTCATAATAATAATTTAGAAAAATTCATAATGTTGTCATTTTGTCATTTTAAATCACATTCTTGTAATATCCCATAAGTTATTTTTAGCATTAAAAAATAACATTAGATCAAATTTAACTTGAATTAATTATTTCAGGATGAGGAGGAGCGATACGAGTAAATACGAGGTCCTTGAGGTCGCAGGAGTGATCATTTTACTCCTGGTCGCATTGACTCCTGTTCTTTGCTCAGCCGGAATCTTGGATCCATTTCAATGGGCAAGAAGCGATAGAATCGAAGTTAACATACCATGGTTACCATGTAAATACTAAACTAATTCCCCATATATACCTACATATACAGAATTCATTTAAATTTTAAAATTATATTATGGTGAACCAAAAGTTTCTGCATTTATTGGATTGAAATTTTACTTTGATTTGAAACTGCAACATAACTGGATTGTTTATTTGTAAAAATTTTATTTGAAAATATTAATTTAAATACAGGAAAGTAAAATAGTAACAAGTAATAATCAGTTCACCATAATATAAATTAAAAAATATATCAATATATCTAATTTATTTAAATTTTAAAATTATATTATGGTGAACCAAAAGTTTCTGCATTTATTGGATTAAAATTTTACTTTGATTTGAAACTGCAACATAACTGGATTATTGAAAATGTTAATAATTATATTTGTTATATTAGTAAAATATATTTTGAAAATATTAAATTAAATGCAGGAACTTGAAGATCACCATAAATATAAATTAAAAAAATATATATAAAACAAAAGAGAATATGATCGAATCAATTTGTATAATATCATGTGTATCATGTGTGTGTATGATGATGATTTAAGCAAACAAAAAAATATATTGAAATACATATCCTTCTACAGTCGAAAACGAAACAAGGTGTTACGACGAATTAGGATGTTTAAACATAACAAGAAATTGGTATCATTTGATATATAGACCATTAAATGTATTTCCTTTACCAAGAGAAGTCATCAACACAAGTTTCATCCTTTACACCAATGACAATCCAACTGTGGTAAGTTTTTATTTATAAAACAATATTTTATTAGAAATTATTATATAATAAATATTGAATGAAATCAAATTAATTGAAAATAATCGTTTAGGGACACGTATTGACTGTAGCCAAGGACAAAACAATCAAATATTCTAATTTTAATCCTAAACGAAAGACTAAGTTTATAATCCATGGTTTTATTGACACACCACTTAGCAGTTGGATAAAGGTGAGATCTTAATTAATATATATATATATATATTTTATTATTAATCAAAATATTTGCAATATATTCAATTGAAATCAATTAAAATTAAATAATAATTTTTTTTTTCTTTTATCAATAAGAATGAAATTTTGGTTTTAATTAAATAAATAATGTTATGTTAAAATATTATTTAATATTATTTAGGAAATGAAGAACGAATTATTAAAACACGGTGATTACAATGTAATTGTGGTTGATTGGGCAGGTGGTAGTTTACCTCTTTATACTCAAGCTACAGCCAATACCAGATTAGTTGGTTTAGAAATAGCTAATCTGATCAAACACTTACAGGTGAAGAGAAACCTAATTATTTATTTGATAAATAAATATATATATATATTTTTTTCATGACCGGGTAAAAGAATATTCAATGAAAATTTATCAGTTTTATTAATATAAAGGAAATAATATTAAGGAAAATGATTTATAATATTTATAATGTAATGTAATATAAGATATTAGATACATGTGAAAGTTGATTGCATTTGTTAGTTATGCTCTATTGAACTTATAAAATGTTCATATTATCATGAACTAACTAAGTATAATAATATTAAAAATCTTGATTTATAATCTTTTACCGGTTTACTCAAGTAAATTATAAAATAACCAAAGTGATTGGCACTATAAATTAAAAAATATAAACAAAAATTAATAAAGTTATATTATTATTTAACATTTATTAAAATAAATTTGTTTTATTTATCTATATTTAATTATTATTTGTTAAAAGATATTTATTTTTTATTTTTTAGATACCTATTTTTGTATATTTTTATATTTTATATATTTATTTTATATTTTTTAAATATTTATATTTGGATTTTTATATTTAATATATTTATTTTGTATTTTTTAGATACTTAATTTCATATTTTTATATTTTATATATTTATATTTTATTTAAATAGAATAACTTAAATTATTGATTACCTATTTAACTATTATTGAACATTTATAAACAAAATTTCTATCATTTGTCTATAAAAAAAAAAAAAAGTATAAAAATTGAAATATAAAATCGTAATTATTGATAAAATATTTAACAATAAATTGTATTAAATTTATTAATGTTAATCACTTTGGATTTTTCAAGAATTATATAATAATAATAATAAATATTCATAATGATACTTATATGTTTTTGATGGGGGGAAAAAAAAAAAACACAACAGACCAATTATAGATTGGAACCAAACGATGTTCATCTGATAGGTCACAGTCTTGGTGCACATACTGCTGGTTATGCTGGTGAAAAATTACGTGGTAACGTTGGACGAATAACAGGATTGGATCCAGCTGAACCATATTTTCAAGGAATGCCAAGTCACATACGTTTGGATTATACTGATGCCCAATTGGTCGACGTAATTCATACAGATGGAAAGAGTATATTTTTCTTAGGTAAGCGAGATAAAATCAACAGAACAACAAAAAATCAAAAATCAAATATATAAACAAACCAAAATAAGGAAATGTAAAATACATTTTTTTGTAAATATATTTTTGAGCCCTTCTTTTTGAGTTAATTAACAACAATAACAACAACAACAACAACAACAACAATAAAATAAATTAATGTCTATCATTGATAAAATTTCATCGATAATATATCATGTTTTATTTTTTTTTATCGTAAAATATATATATATATATATATATATATATATATATATATATATA